AGAAGATCAATTTCGGGCCGGAGCCCGTTTTTCAGCATGGATTTGAGCTTCTTTGCAGAAGCTTTTGCATTCACAATGTGAATATCGGCTGATAAAGAACAAGTCATTGTCTTGATCCCCATTGCTAGTTCTCTCAATGCGTAGCTACACTCCGTGCTCATTTTCGTGCATGGTGGTTGAATCTTCTTTTGAATTTCGACATGTGTCTGCAAATATATATATAACACGATTTTTTTTTTCATGTTTATTGTGGAATTTAAATAAATAAATCAATGATTGAAGAGTGTGATTTAGTTTGACGTTTAATTTAATTACCTGCGCGTCTGAGTTGAGGTAGCTGTTAATTGCATCGATTTTGTACGCACATTCTCTTGAGAGGGATCCGATTTTTAGGTATTGATCCCATGGCTGACGGTACCTAAATTTACCATGTCTGGGCTCCCATTTCGCGAAGTTCACCTGCAAATCAAGAAACTCAAACTTGATTAAATGGGGTTGAAATAATCATTAATATTAAGCTAAGGTTGCGTTTGGATCAAATAATTTTAGGTTTAATGACTCTGGTATAGACTGAAATTCCAACACATGATATTACAAACGGAGCCTTAAACGTAGTTTTGAGCTTCGATGACTCACCAAAGAATCCTCAATGCCTTTGGAGTTGAGAACAGTTTTGTATTGATCAAGTGATGCTACATTGTTTTCTTGATTCTTCTCGTTTGATACCTGGAAGTACGCTCGTCCGAAACCTAATAATAGTTCACACTCCAAATCAAGAACTAACGAAAAAAAATATCAAGAAATGGCACTTATATGCACGTGTGAAAAAAAATGCACCTTCCAAGAAAATCGAAAGCTTTTCGATGCTAGAGGCGGTGTATTTATGAAGATCTTCACCAGCCCAAACAGGGCATATGAGCATGCAAATGAAAACAGTAGCACATCCACCTATAAGTATCGTCGAAAGCCTTCTTTGAGCCATGTCTATCACCTCGTCGTCTCTATAACCCGACACCGTTATCAAACTGAACGTCAGTATAAATATCAGAAGCCCGTAATCGAATCTCGCCTTCATTTTCGGGAAAAATCGACAAAATGTCACCGCAGAAGCTGCAAAAGAAGAAAACAAAGTTCAAGAATCTAATACAATTTTTTTTTCTTCTGGAACAGACATTTCATCAAACAGTTTGTAATCATTCATCTTTTTGTACCTATGAAGAAAACAGACATGCCGAGTATAACGCACTCGATCTTCTCCCCAGCAAAACTCGCTAATCGATGAGCTGCAACACCCAATCCACCGCCCAACAGCGTCGCGATCGCTCTGTTTACCCCTTTCCCAAGTGTTGCGCCTGTAAATTTTTAAAACGTTGAAGAAAAAAAAAAAAAACAAAGAACAGATCTTTGTGAAGACTGAATAATTGAATTATGAATTTTTTCTGTTTTTTTCTTACCGACGGAGAATTCGAAAACTACGACAACAGTCATAACAGCCCACATTGCGTTGACACCAAAACCTTGGTACGAGAAATCGAAGTAGTAGAACAGAGAAACCAGAGTTATGGCTAACCCAACTTTGAACGAGTGGATAACTCTTCTCGGATCTTCTTCTCCGAGCTTTTTCGCGTCTTTTGCTGTACAAATCACGAAGCTTATCAACCAACTCCATACTTGCTTTCAATCCG